CCAAGGGCGGACAAAATCACGAGGCCGGGAGTACTGTCAATGTTTGGATTAGTTTGGAGAAGGAGAAGATGAACAAGTTCATGCTTCATGTATTTTCAATTTAATTAATCAAATTCCTAAACTTAACTACTAAATAAATTTATTTACTGAGCTATAGGTAATGTAATTCGCTTTTGAGCATAATTAAGTGATAATTGACATGTACTCATTTTCTCGAGATGGGAGGTTCAATTTTTCCTTCAATATAAGTAGCTATCCATCTTCATTTAACACGCTAATGATCTCGTTTTTGCCTTCACGCCCTGTCCGTCAGTTTCTCTCCCTCCACGTCTAAAAATCAACAACCCAGTAAACAAACAAATAAATAACTTATATGAGAACAAGCCCAACGAAACATTTGAAAACAAAGACAGATGGATGCTGGAGTTCAAGCATCGAGAGTTAGTCGCCTGTAGATGAGAGAAGAAAAACAACCCAATAATGAGAGAGAAATGGAAGACCGATAGATGCTGGAGTTCAAGCATCGAGAGTCGGCTGTAGATGAGAGAAGCAAAACAACCCTAATAATGAGAGCGAAATGGAGTGCTTTCAAATAAGGAAAGGAGGGAAAACAAATTTTGCACCCCTATTCGTATTACCCAAGTGAGGGGCATGAGAGGTCATTTGGCAAAGTAGGTGATGTCAGCAAGTTTTACTTGTGTTTTGAGAAGAGCGATTAAAAAACTTAAGAGACTCTTCTGTAAGGCTTATTTTGTCAATTTTCCCAAAAAAGTCACCTGTGCCAAGAGAAGACAAGAAATGCCGAGTAGTTCAATGAAGAGATAGAAAAAGAAGTTCATCCACGCTGCCACGGAACAAATCACCTGCCCTTTTGAAATTGCAGTTGCAGAGGGAGCCATAGAGAAGCTTAATTTCAGAAGAAACAACCGGAGAAAGAACACAGATTATATGTAGAAGACGGGAAAGCGACAGCAACCAACAAAGAAAGGTAAATTATGTTTCTGCATAAGAATTAGATATCCTACAGATTAGGATCCTCTTCTTGCTAATTGCGAATCAGAGGAAATAAGCAGATAGCATTAATGGGCTTGGTTTAGGGTTTCCTTTTGATTTCAGTGGATTCGCCGCTATTAGAGATTTTTTCAGCTGAAGGGTTTTGTGGGATTCCCACCAAGGCTTCTGGGTTCTCCTTATTTTCGTCACATTCATTTGATATTTGTTGCATAAGCAGTTCCTGCTACAAATAAGCATTTGAGTTTTATGAGATTTTAGTTGGTTTTATTTTTCTTTTGATGTCACTTAACTTCCCGTTAGTATTAATGAAAGGTTAGTAGAGTAGAAAGATTAGCAGGGTGATACTTGCAATGCAGTTTAATGATAGGCCTATGCCTCAATTTTATTTATCAACACAGCTAAGGGAGATTGGAGAGCTCCCGACCTCTCCTAATTCTCATAGAGAATGCAGAAAACAGTATTCAGCAAAAAGATACCCAAAACAGCCACCCCCCTCCACCATATAACCCTCTCTGGCCCACATCAAACTAACAAATAGGGGCAATTGCATGAATGGCTAAAATTAATAACACGTTTTAAAAAATGTCCAAACCTATGAAATATTGCAATAATGACTAATTGATTTTTTCCTTTTAAGAGACATACACGCCCAAAGGCTACAAATTTAAGAGGCATCACCTATTTTCCTAATCGTTTTGATTTATGGTTTATTAGTCTTTGATTTTTTAATTTTCTTTTGTTGTAGATGATTTATTAAATGATAAAGAAATAGAAAACAAGAATACAAATAACTTGTAACAGCATATACTCCTTAGTGGCTAGGTATATATACCAATTGATGCAAATATGTATATATACATTAAGAAGATACAGTAGAACAATTGCAGAATGAAGAGATGAGAGATTAATCATTGTACACAAATCGTTTAAATTAACTGAAATACAAAACAAATTAATTAAAATAATTAACTTGAAATCCCTTGGATGTAGGAAAATCATTTTGAATTCAAAACAAAATTTGTTAGGTGGTTGAATATAACAAAAAACCAAAAAAACATAGAAAAATGTATTGTTAGAAAACTACGTTCTTTTTAAAACTCCTAAAATACCCTTCATCAGTAGAACAATTGCAGAACGATGAGACGAGAGATTAATCGTTGTAAACAAATCGTTTAAATTAACTAAAATATAAAACAAATTAATTAAAATAATTAACTTGAAATCCCTTGAAAATAGGAAAATCATTTTGAATTCAAAATAAAATTTGTGTGGTTGAATATAAGAAAAAACCAAAAAAACATAGAAAAAAATATTGTTGGAAAACTACGTTTTTTTTAAAACTCATAAAATACCATTTAGTCATTTGTGCCATCGCAAAATTTAGCCATCCATTCAAATTTTCCTAACAAATATTCTTATGGGCCCACTTACAAGTTAATACTCTTACTCACACCGACTCCCTCTTCCTCCCCCGCTTACGTTGATATACCCTAGTAATTGGGGGCCTATCATTTAATTAGTTTACATGAACTTCATTGAACGCTAATCGCCCGTCACTAAATTAAGACTTCTAGGAGTTCCTGGAAATGGCGATTTCGGAGGACTCGACGACAAATCAACAAATCTCTCCTCCCAATTCATATGGAGGTGTGGTTCTTGGTGGCACTTTTGATCGATTACACGACGGGCACCGTCTTTTTCTCAAGGTATCGCTCGAGTTTTTAATGTTTTGCTTCTATATCTGTTGAAGTATGGTAGTAAATGATGGAATTTAGGCAGCAGCAGAGCTAGCGAGGGATCGGATTATGATTGGAGTTTGTGATGGCCCAATGCTCACTAAAAAAAAGGTCTTAACTCCTTCCTCAACCAGAAGCATTTACTTCATTTCTGTTCTATTTCTTGCAGCTATATCATTTCTTATATTTCTTGATCTGCATTTGAAGGCATTGAACAAACTTCCATTCAATTCTGGATCGCTTGTATCAATTTTGACAAATCTATTCAGTGTGTGTTTTACAAACTTTTAATGAAATTCTAGTTAGTTTTACAACGTATTATGTGTCTGTTGAAGACTTCAACATGAAATTTGCCCCGAGGAATGCTCTGATTGTTATTTGAACTTCAATCTTCCCATGCGATTGGTAAAAGAAGAACTATCTGCTGCTTATTATCAATGGCTTTGGATGGTTATTTTCTTTATAGAAGCCATCTTGATTACTATAAGAAACTTGGAGAAGTATGAAGGTCAAGTTTTTGTTTTTTTTTTTTAATGAAGAAAATTTGCTTTCTGGAAAGGCACCATGAAAATTAGTCACTGAAGAGGGAGTATATGATGATTGACGTATAGTCAGCTCATTTGATTTCTTTGATGTAATTTAAAGCCGTTTTGTTCATAACCTCAATGAAACCACGGTAGCCAAGGGATTGAGAATCTCATCTAAATTGTTCTTTTACTCCATTGCAGTTCCCGGAACTTATACAGCCTATTGAAGAAAGAATGCTAAATGTTGTAAATTATATCAAGGTACTTCATAATAACCTTTTCTTTTCTTTTCTTTTTTTCGGTTTCACAGCTTAGCCAGCTTTTCCTATTGTTTCTGGTGGTGAGAAATGGGTAAATTGTTCTACAATTTTGTGGATATCTTAATTTTAGCTAGAAGATAATTCATTACTGCCCTTCTGAATCTTTAGATGACGCCTTTTAGAGGAAATAATTTCATTTATAAAATTTTAAGCTTGTGAAATTTCGTCTCAACTATAACTTCGCAGCATGGACTTGACCCTAGATTCCATGGACCATGAAGTCTATTTCTGGCATATGTTCACGAAAATGATCTTTATTCCCCATAATGTTCTGTTTCATGTCGTATGGATAAATGTTATTCTCAAGGCTGGTTGCATTTCTCAAGTCACGTCCTTTGACGATTTTTGCAGTCTGTAAAGCCAGAACTGTTGGTACATGTTGAACCTATTGTCGATCCATACGGTCCATCCATTGTTGATGAAACTTTGGAGGCAATTGTTGTCAGGTTTTTCCAAATAAATACTTAATATTCACTGAGGATCGTTCTTCATTGTGTCCAAGCCAAAAAACACTTTCTGAGTTATTCCTTATGCAGCAAGGAGACGTTAGCAGGTGGAATGTCAGTTAACAAGAAGCGCGGCGAAAAGGGCCTTTCGCAGCTGAAGGTCCGAGTCTTTCCCCATCATTTTTCGCTTGCAGTACAAAAGATTCCATTATGAGTTAGAGGGCCATTTGATGTTTTTCTATTTGCAGATTGAAGTTGTAGATTTAGTGACTGATGAGTCTGGTGGTGATAAGCTGAGTTCATCTACACTAAGAAAGTTTGAGGCAGAGAAGGCTGCCTCACAGCAAAAACCATAGCAGAAACAAAATCCAAACATATAAATAAAGCCCAAGTTGACTTAAGGAATCATCCGGAAGAGATCTTACTTGAGTGGATATAAACAAACTCATATCTCAAATTAATAAATTATCATACTACTGTGGTAAATTAGAATGATGTTTGTTATTGTCTCTCTTTGTAATTACTCCATGATTCTACACCTTCTGGTATTATTAGCTTAGAGATTAATAAATGAATAGTTTCGCTCAGTTGTGCTTTCGGACATTAGTCGTTGATGTTGCAGCGTTAGATGAATAAGAGTGTGTTTGATAATGCTTTTAGAAGAAGCGTTTTTTAATTGAAGGTGTTTTTTGAGATATAACCATTTGCATTGGCAAAGTTTAAAAAGTGTTCGTAAGATCGAATATTCTTCCATGTAGAGGTTTGTCTCGAACACCCTCTTGTACAATTGTAGCACTACAAATACAACTCGTTTTGGGAACTAGTTATACTTAAGGGTTGAAAGCAATGTTAAGGACAACGGTACCCAGGGTACCACGTATCTCCACAATGGTATGATATCGTCCACTTTGGGCATAGTCCTCACGGCTTTGCTTTTGGTTTCACCCAAAAGGCCTCATACCAATGGAGATAATTGTCCTCTCTTATATACTCATGATCATTCCCTTCCCTAGTCAATGTGAGACTTTGTTTGCAATCACCTTACAAACCCAATAATCCTCCCCTCGAACAAAGTACCACCGAGCCTCCCCTCAAGTAGTCACTCATCCGTCTACTCTCGGACCCGAACGAGAGCTAATTATTGAATTAAAAATATTATTATCTAAGAAGATAAGATTCCATTGAATAAATTTAGTTTAATTTATAATTCATTAAATGATTAAGGGATTAATAAATTCAAGGAACATCATAACAAATTGTTCAAATTTTTTTTTTTAACTTCAACAAATTGTTCAATTATTGACTATCATTTATAGAGAATTTCAATTTATTTTTTCCATCACAATTTTGAGCCCTGTTCTTGTTTCTTTCCGAACGATCAGCCGTTCTTCGGATTACCATATCAAAAATATTTTCTTTTTGATAATCACTAGTTTTCTTTTGCAAAATCAAAAAACCAAAATTTGTTTCCACCCATAATCCTCTGCAGCACTTTTCAACTTATCCCATCAACACCCATCGGAATTGTTTTTTTTTTCTGCCCATGTCCCTTTTTTCAATCGCTATCTACAGGGTTTTACTTTTCGCTCATTAATCATCTTTCCCGTAGGGTTCCTTTTTCTGTATCGAATCTGCCTTCTCTTTCTCCTGGTAATTTTTCTTGCTATTTTTATTGTTCTCTGCAAATTTTTGAATCATGGGTTTCTATTTTTGTCTCGGTGTGCTTGTTGTATCTGTTACTCATGAGATTGTTTTTGGAGCGGTGTAATTCAGTCCATGAATGGGTCGTTTTCGTTAGATTGAAATTTGTGATATAATATGAGTTTCACTAACGTTAATGCTCTAAGTTTTTACTTTGGAGCTTGAATTTCGTATTCGAATTGGGAATACGAAAATTTTGTTGATTGTCGTTGTTTCCTTTTCCAATGTTGTTCACAATCTGATTGGTGTGTGATCTGAGTGTGAATAGTATTGTTCCATCTGCAGAATTTTCGACATCAGCATTCAGCAATTGGAGCAATACGACGATGAACGAGCGCAAAACTATTGATTTGGAACAAGGATGGGCCTTCATGCAAAAGGGAATCACAAAATTGAAGAACATTTTAGAGGGATTGCCAGAGCCACAGTTCAGCTCGGAAGACTACATGATGCTCTACACGTAATGATTTTTCTAAACTTCCTGCCAATTTTGTTTTTTGTTCTAAAAATATTTATTTCATGGATACCTATTGGAGGGTTGGAATGGGAGTTTCAGTTAGTACCCAACTTCTCTTTGAAGGGTTGTAATCTTCTCTGTTTTCTTGATAATTTGGTCTTTTTGAAATTAGATTACGTTTAGAAATTTAAATTGGTTGGGACTCTTTGGTTATCCGCTCTATTAGAGAGGTTGATTTTATTTTATTTTATTTTTTGGGTGGGTGGGTGTGCAAAGCTTTCTATCATTCTTTTCAATTTGAAGGCTGATTTGATGGAGTTGATGATTCCAACTATTCTATGTCCTACTTGTCTACAGGACCATCTATAATATGTGTACTCAAAAGCCTCCTCATGACTACTCCCAGCAGCTGTATGATAAGTACTGCGAATCGTTTGAAGAGTACATAATATCATCGGTGAGAGATATTTACTTCATATATGGTTTTTCCCTGATCTTCGGAGTAATATTTTTCTTGTAATATGAAATTTGGCAGACATTTGCTGGTTTGTTGAGGATATATACATGTACATTTTGATATGAAGGAGTTGTGAAATTTTCTTATTGCTCGTATTACTAGATATCCTTGAGTAGTAAATAAAAAACATAAAACAATTGATTTCAGAAGGATTTCGTTCAAGCTGGAAAATCATGTCTTCAACAGAGGAAGGAATCACCCAAGAAGGGTCAAAAGAAAATTCAATACAATATGAATGTTAACTAATTTTGATACATGTTTCAGATTTTAGTTGTAGCAAATTGATAGAATGTGCTGGTGAAATTTATGCTTGAGAGTTGACAGCTTGAAACAATTTGAGTTGACAATTTGAATCTTATGATTCTGTCAAAGATTGAAGTTATGTTTGACTTCTATATTCATGCTTGGGTGGCTAATGTTAGATTGTCATGAATTCAATTTTCAGATCTTCCATACCTAGACTGTTGCTATTTTGAGTTTCACTTAACTTTCATCTTCCTAGGTTAATTTATTTCTGGTAACACTGTAACTTGTGAGATTTTTGTGCGTTCAGTAAGAGTTTCAATGCATTCAGTGTTCCCAATAGCTAGATATCTCTTAGGTATTATCTTCATATGTCAAACATTTGACATACTACTACATCTGTATCTTGAGGAAAGCACGTGCATACCTTTCCTTTCAATATTGTGTTAATTTTCATAATGGTCTGAATTCACCACTTCTTTATGTAAAAGAAAGTGCTTTGCTGTCTTGAATGATGACATCTGTCACAGGAAATCGTACATCAGTCATAGTTTCATGTTGTATATATATGCATCACGAGTTACTTCCATGGGCAGTTTCTGGTTTTTCTGGGGTGTGGTTAATCTATTTCACAGCCTCACACTTGAACTTGCTATTCAGGTATTGCCATCTTTGAGGGAGAAGCATGATGAATTCATGTTGAGAGAGCTTGTGAAAAGATGGGCAAACCACAAAGTGATGGTTAGGTGGCTTTCTCGCTTCTTCCATTATCTTGATCGCTACTTTATTGCTCGAAGGTCACTTCCACCTTTGAATGAAGTTGGGCTAACTTGTTTCCGTGATTTGGTATGTCACCACTGAACATTGTGATTGCTCTCTTTATTACCATGTTAAATGCTTGCCTCTTTGCTTGGCCAAGACCTGTTTGTGTCCGTACTCATGAAACTTGCAACTCAAATTTGCAAGAGTTATTGCAATTGAATATGTTGTTGACATTTTTTTGCTGATTCAGGTTTACCAGGAGTTAAATGCAAAAGCTAGAGATGCTGTCATATCGCTGGTATGTTAACTTGATGCTCTTTTCTTTTGTGCATGATCTTTTAGGTTGTGCAATAGATGACTGGAATTTCTCCTATCAGATTGACCAAGAGCGTGAAGGAGAGCAAATTGACCGAGCTCTGCTAAAGAATGTCTTAGATATATTTGTGGAGATTGGAATGGGGCAAATGGATTGCTATGAAAATGACTTTGAAGCAGCCATGCTCAAAGACACTGCTGCATATTACTCTCGGAAGGCTTCCAACTGGATTCTAGAAGATTCCTGCCCTGATTATATGTTGAAAGTAATTTTCTTTGTTCCTTTATTGGCTTTGCAGATGAATGTAATTTTATCTTTCTGGTAGGATTTCTAACTCATTTTGTTGGAGATTATAGGCTGAGGAATGCCTAAGACGTGAGAAGGACAGAGTTTCACATTATTTGCCCTCTAGCAGTGAACCTAAACTTCTAGAGGTTTGTTCTATGTCTTCTTCTAGCTCGTGTATCAAAAAAAAGAAACTAATTGTTCTTGATCATGTAATCTTTTAACTGATTTAGCTTGTACCAGTTTTTCTCGTTCTTCTTCGATGCTGCTGATCATTCTCGAGAATTGTAGTTGACGTGTTGCTTTTTCTCTTTTTTAGAAAGTTCAACATGAACTGTTGTCTGCCTATGCTACCCAACTGCTTGAAAAAGAGCATTCTGGATGTCATGCGTTGCTTAGAGATGACAAGGTACTTACTCATTATTTCTATCTTTAATTTTTTAGTACATGTTTTTCAATATGCAAATCAAACATATATTTCCTTCCTTGGACTTGTTTGTGTTCATATGCCGTTTATGGGATGTTTTATAGGTCGATGACTTGTCGAGAATGTTCAGACTCTTCTCTAAAATTCCTCGAGGCCTAGATCCAGTTTCAAATACATTTAAACAGGTTTCTGATCTAACCACTTCAACCAAGTCTTCTATCTTCTTCCAATTGAATTTATCAGAGTTCTTTTTATCATATTCTGTCGACTGCCCTTATGAACTCTGACGAGATTTTTTAATTTCCATTATACAGCATGTTACTGCTGAGGGAACTGCCTTGGTCAAACAAGCAGAAGATGCAGCAAGCAACAAAAAGGTTTGTTACTTGCTGCTTTACGTTATAAGTTCATGTATTATACCATTATATGAACCTAAGAGTCATCTTGATTGATCATGGATTGCTTCTGGACTGATAATTAGTTATTATCAAGGTGGTCGTAGGTCTGTAATGGTTACATAGTGGGAGTTCATGGGTTGAAGTACATTTTAGACCCAACCCAATTGTTTGGGTTGTAAATTTATTCAACCTAGACAACCCATATTCAATCATGAACCCAACCCAATCCAACCATGATTTTTTTGAGTTGGATTGGTTTGGGTTATTTGGGTCACTCACTTAAAAGATTTTATCCTATTATAATAGGATAAGTAAATGCTAGTATCTTAAACATTTATTTAAATATTTTCTATCATTGAACCAAGGTCTGTAAGTCAATGTTTATGTATATGGTGGAAAGTTACACTCCAAGAACTTAAAATGTTATTTTTAAAAGACATGGTTTTAAAATTAATAATAAGTTTGAGTTGGTTTGGTTCAACTCAAATTTATTTTAATTGAACCATTGAACCAATCCAACCAATAGAGTTTTCATTTATTTCAACCAAACTCAAGCAAGTTTATAACCCACCCCAAACATGGGTTGATCGGGTTTAGTCATGTATAGGTGCATCAATTGCTAAATTTTTTAGGAAACCCTATAGATGAACATCAATTTCTCTTTTTACTTCTAATTTGCATAAATTATTTTCCCTTATTACTACAAACTCTCTCTTTCTTAATTCAATTTTTTTATATTACATGCTAATTTTCGATATCTTGGCGATACGTTTTTTTTATGAGAAACCAAGTGTTCCTCGATAAAAATAGAAGAATATACAAGGGCGTACAAAAAAATCCCAACAAATGGAGTCAAAACAAAAGCTAGCTAAGTGGAAAAAATCTCCCATCCAAAAGAGTTAAACCTAGTTGATAATTTAAAAAAGTCCTAGATGTTGAAGCTCACACAAAGGTGTTACGACTACATCTAGTGATATCTCAAACCTCTTCCTAGGACCTCTCAATCATTCTAAAATTACACAAGAAGTCCTAGAGACTTATTTTCTTTTGGAGATTTTCCGGTGTGTTATAGCAAAATATCATGCATAAGTTTTAAGTTCTAGACAAGATGTATGGGCATGACTTTTACCTGGGATAGGAAGAAATAGGAAGAAATAATATGAACGCTGTATGATCCAATAACATTAAAAAATGGCTTAATGCTGGGTAAGTAAATGGGTTTCTTTCTCATTTATAGTTGCAAGACTGAGTTTTTCAAATGTTCATTTTATACTTAATGGCATCCAAAAAAACATTATATTGTGTGAAGAGTTCAGAAGGAATGAGTTCAAACTATGGTGGTCACCTACTTATGATTTAATATCCTACTCCTTGGCAACCAAATGTTGTAGGTCAGACGGTTGTCTCGTGAGATTCGTTGAGGTGTGCGCAAGCTGACTTGGACACTCACAGTTGCATTTATGCAAATTGTGTGTGTTAGCATTGTTCTTGTAGTTCTCATCATTGTGTTGTAATTCTGGACTGTGTGTGATTTGGAAAGGTTATTTTTGTTATGGCTAAGGACTTGCTTTTTCCATTTATGTAGGCTGAGAAAAAGGATGTGATTGGCTTGCAGGAACAAGTAATCTTTCTTCGACACGTTCTCTCTCTTGATTTCGCTCTCTCTTCTATATGGTGACTCAAAACTATGTCCTGTATTTTAGGTGTTCGTAAGAAAAGTGATTGAGCTGCACGATAAATATTTGGCATATGTGAACACCTGTTTCCAAAATCACACGCTTTTCCACAAGGTATGGTCTTCTTTACTAGTATATTACTGAAATGCAAAGTACTTGAAGATTTAAATTTGTTGCTCAGATTGCCAACCTGTACATAACTCAATTCGTTAAGGCGTATCTTCGACCAAAAGGTCGGAGGTTCAAATCCCCACCCTACGTGTTGTTGAACTAAAAAAATGGTTACTCATATTAAATATGTTTCTATTTAGGCTCTCAAGGAGGCCTTTGAGGTCTTTTGCAATAAGGGTGTTGCTGGTAGTTCAAGTGCAGAGTTACTTGCAACTTTTTGTGATAACATTCTCAAGAAAGGTGGGAGTGAGAAACTGAGTGATGAAGCAATTGAAGAGACTCTGGAAAAGGTCCATTCTTTGCTTATCTTTTATTCCTTCTGCTCCTCATGATTTTTGGAGAGTGTTATGATTATAAACCTTCTGTGTCTGCAGGTAGTGAAGTTGCTTGCTTATATCAGTGATAAAGATCTTTTCGCCGAATTTTATAGGTAACTCGCTAGATTTTCAGATTAATGGGGTTTTAAGGTAAAAAATGAAAGAAAATGGAATAATGTTGATAAATTTCATGATTATTTGCAGGAAAAAGCTTGCTCGACGACTTCTTTTCGATAAGAGTGCCAATGACGACCATGAGAGAAGTATTCTGACTAAACTGAAACAGCAATGTGGTGGTCAGTTCACCTCAAAGATGGAGGGCATGGTATGCCAGGTTTGTCTTTGTGATTTGAAGTGGTTGAAGTTATGGAGTATTTACAAGTGTGTTCATTTTTGGGTTTCCCTTAGGTCACAGATTTGACTTTGGCGAGGGAAAACCAAGCCAACTTTGAGGAATATCTTAGCAATAATCCACAAGCAAATCCCGGTATTGATTTGACAGTTACGGTTCTAACTACCGGGTTTTGGCCTAGTTACAAGTCCTTCGATCTGAACCTCCCGGCCGAGATGGTAGGCATGGGTTAATCTCATATTGAGTTCAACCATTTACAAGTTGCAGAAAGTTTTTGGAGGAAACTTATATCTTACCCCTCTTTTGTTTCAACTTCAGATTAAATGCGTTGAGGTCTTCAGAGAGTTCTATCAAACTAAAACAAAGCATAGGAAGCTTACATGGATTTACTCTCTTGGTATCTGTAACATCAGCGGAAGGTTTGAACCGAAAACCATCGAACTAATTGTGACAACGTATCAGGTTAGTACATTGACTGTATCAAACTTTCCTCGGGTTCTGGAGAACTGGAAGTTTGTCGGACTGCCAAGTTCTTATTGCTGATTTATATGCATTTTTTTTTTGTATATTCATAGGCTTCTGCCTTGCTGCTGTTCAATTCCTCTGACCGACTTAGTTACTCGGAAATTATGACTCAACTAAACTTGAATGATGACGACATTGTGAGACTACTCCATTCCTTGTCGTGCGCCAAATATAAGATTCTTAACAAGGAGCCAAGTACTAAAACAATCTCGCCAACCGATACATTTGAGTTCAACTCAAAGTTTACGGACAAAATGAGAAGGATCAAGGTTTCTAATTCTTCACTAGTCGATATATTTCATTCTCTCGTGGTGTAACTATTACCATTGTTCCAAGAGGCAGTGTTTTGATGGTTTCATTGTACAGATTCCTCTTCCACCCGTGGATGAGAAGAAGAAGGTAATTGAAGATGTCGACAAGGACAGACGTTATGCTATTGACGCGTCGATCGTCCGCATCATGAAGAGTCGTAAAGTTTTGAGTCACCAGCAGTTGGTGCTGGAGTGTGTCGAGCAACTTGGTCGGATGTTCAAGGTTCTCACATACACTTCCCTGTAAATACTTTGTTTCATAATCTGCTTTTTCACTTCTAGAATCTAATACTAAATGATGCAAATTTGCAGCCCGACTTTAAAGTAATCAAAAAGCGGATTGAAGATCTAATCACCCGAGACTATCTGGAAAGAGACAAAGATAACCCGAGCTTGTTCAGGTACCTAGCATGATCTGGACTTTGTCAAAAGATGAAAATGCTAGAGTCCTTATGACTCAAGATAGCTCGAAATTCTTTCGATGGCGATGGCGATGGAGATGGTGGTACGAGCTCACTCATGTAGTGCAAACTAATTCGAGAAGGTCGAAATGCTTGTGCTATTTTACCATCTAAGCAAGTTGAGATACTCGTTATATGATTAGGAAATGATGGAAAATCTGAATCCCAATGTTGAGATGGATATTGATTAATTGGTCAAATGGAGTGAAAATAATTGAATTCATTACTGTAATTTCCATCTGCCTATTGATCACCGAATAATTTGTTCATTAGATGTTATGCCCCAAAGAAAGCTGTCTGTCTTTGGAAAAGGAATATTTCTTTAGTTTTTCCATTTATTAGATATTATTATTTGGTTTTGTTATTTTTGTAACTCTTATTTGGAAAATGCAAAAATTACCTGTAAATTACAGTAATGGTTACAAAGTCTCCGGTCTTTTTATTTGTTTTCTTAGGTAGTGTTTGAATAACCATTTTATTTTTTGTTTTTAGCATTTCTTTTAAATACATTTAAATTTTTAGTCATATTTTAAAAACAAAAACAATTTCTTTTAGTTTTTAAAATTTGGCTAAGATTTTAAAAATGTATAACAAGAAAAATTAATATAAGCTTGATAAGTAGTAGATGTAACTTACATCATGTAAGCTTAGTTTTTAAAAATAGAATAGAAAATATATCAAATGGGCTTTAATTTTTTAAATTTTCTAATGAAAGTTGGAGGTGGGAAACTTTCTATGAAAATGAATTAAAAAATTAGATGAAAAATTAATGGAATAATCCACCACTTTTCTTGAATTGGGAGGGATATTTCTTCCCGGTTAAGGAAAAATTACATACAAAATTCTAAAAAGCTAAGATTTTCTGTATCTTTTTTTTTTTACTTGTATTTTTTAAAACATAATCATAAATCTGATATTATTAATGAATTAATTTTTTTATATAACAAAGTTTTGCACTTTTGCTTTATGATTTGATGGCTGCCGGCTGGAGCATTTTCTCACTCTTATTTATTTTTCAAAATTTCAAAACACAATACATTATATAAACTTTTAATAAGAAAAAGATTTAAAAAGTGATTTTTTAAAGGAAAAAAGGAACTTCAAATTTTCCAAAGGTGTATTATCCTCGGTCTAAAAAGGAAGGAAGAAAGAAAAGAAGGGATAAAAGGTTGTTTTAGTCAAAAATAGGGTATTTTAACTTGTATATTTATTCAAGTGAATTTTGATAATTTTGATATTTGAAAATGACATTGAGCCTAACTACTCATAGAGGAATGTATACATCATCCTTTAATTAGGCATATTTTTTTTCCTCATGCATTGAATTTAGCGTGTAACAATACATTATTAAGTTGGAGTAAAGTTAATTTCGGTGAAGTAACGTCTCACTAGTAAAGATGCCTATAACTTTTTTAAAGTTGAAAATTCGATTTTTAACTCTACATTTCTTGAACTAAAAAAAATACCTATGGAATAACAACCTCCAATGGTTTAAGTTTTGCCATTATTAAGAAAAAAAGGTATTGCTATTATTAAAATCAAAATAAAAAAAGTATTGCCATTATTAAGGTTGTTTTGCTGTTCTTTCGAGTGTATATTATGCTTTTGAAATGAAAGGATATTTGCTCCGTGTTAGTTTTGTTTGGAACTTTGGTGTTGGTTGGTTGACATTAATATGGTTGGTGAGTGATCTTGCTTCTTCGGTGACATCTTTTGTTGACGATATATCATTGAGCTTCTTAATGATCATGTCTGACTTTGAATTAGTCTATTAAATTTACATAGACATATGGGCATAAAAAGTGAATCAACAACATTTTTGTTGTATCAGCAAAACAATCAACAAAAAGACAAAATATATCAATAAATATCACTAATGTAAACATATATTAACAATAACATTTTTTAAATTATTTTAAAATGGTGAATTACGCATGTGTCAATTTTTCCTTTTAATAATTTTTAGAAATATCTATCAACATTGATATTTCATCAATATTTTCATTGACATTTACGTAAATTATAACCTCTATATTTCTATATACATTTACATCTTAAATCTTACTTAGAACTGATATGAATATTTGATCTCATATATTGAGTTTGTGGTTATACATCTATTTTGAGAACAACAATTGTGTTATTTATCTCTTTTGTTATTGGTGGTCTGTGTATATGTACATTGGGGTGAATTTAGGACAGAAATAGAGCGACTTATAGGTGTGCAAACACCTCTATATTTATTGGGCAGCTTATAGGTGTGCAGACACCTTTGTCCCATATTGGGCGGCTTATAAGTGCGCAACCACTTTCGCTCCATATTGGGCGGTTTATAGGTGTGCAGCCACCTCTGTACCATTTTGGGCAGCTTATAAGTTGGTCTCACTTCAGCTATCATTATGGGTCAATTATAGCTCAATCTATAGGTTGACCTTAGAAGCCACATAGTGCAGGTTATAGCGCGGTGGTATGCTGTCATCATGCATTCACATTACCCACATCTCTTATATATAGATAGGTCCATAACCTTCCACGATATGTCATTCTCTCTCAAGTGACTCTTTACTTATCTCATTTTATCCAAAGCCAAGATCTCGTAAAGACTATCAACTCTGTCTGTCTTCCAATAACAAGACCTCATTCTTCCCCATTTCATGACCTATGGTCTCTGACCAGCTTCCCAAAAATTGCTTCAACAATATATATTTTACCCGTATTATTTTGGGTTTTATTAATCTAATTTACATTTGTTTTTATAAAATCTAATTTACACTTTTAATGTATGGTCAGAGATATATGTCTTGAGTTATGCTCGATTTGACATTTTTAATGTATCCTTAAAATAGGTGGAGATAGATATTTTATCATCTAAGTATTTTAGCATCTTTTAATAAACTTTTAAAATATCTATTTAAATATTTAAACTTTGATGAAATAATAGTTATTCTTTTGGTAGAATAAATGATCAAACTCATAATTTTTTAATTAAAAGACAAGTATTAATTAGAGTGAGTTAGATTGATAATTAAATAATTATTTTGATCCTCAATTTATTTTCAAAATGTTTATTTATAAATAATCCTCAAAACTTCTGAAACGCTTTATGATTAATGTACAAAAAAATTTAGAAATTGAGGTACAAAAAATGAAATAATTTTTCAGATTTAAACAGGATTTTATTCCTTGCCCAATAAGCTTCCCGCTCATAGACGGTTCTGCGGATTGCTGTGAAATATTTTGCCGCCAAAGGTGCGCTCTCAATTTCTCTCTCCCTCTGAGAAACAGTTATCGTTGATCATGAACTATGTAGCAATTGTGGAAATATACATGGATTATGAACAATTTAATTTCCGTAGAGAGGTTGAGATGGCGTTTTCTCGTTGAAATTTCTACTAGATTTGAAAGCATTGATGGAACATCGGGCCCTAATGCACCGCAATGCCGCATCAACTTCGGACAATACAGTTGGTGATCAGGTCAGGTTAGGTTTTATCGATTGTTTTTGTTTAGAGAAATTTCGCTCGTGAATCTCTTCTTATTTTCGAAGCATGAACGAACAGTATTCGTGGGGATTCGAAATGAAAGAAAAGGGGAATGTACGGGGCATAAAGCGAGCCAGGAAGCGTGATGAATTGCAATTCTATGGAGTAGTGGAAGAGAGAATGGAGAAGTTAGTGAAGCAAAATCGACGGTCCTCTTCAGATTCCCGAATCACGAGGTATCCAAAAGCAATTAGACAAATAATATCTCGCATCTTTTCTTTTCGAAATTAATTTTAAATCTCAATGATTGAAATAATCATGTTTGACTAGTGCAACTCAATAAAGTTTAGTGATTCCCTCTAAACGTCAAGAAATAGAGTTTTTGGGAAGGGTTATTTGAAGAAGAAGGAAGTGACGCTTCCACTATTATTGATGGACATTGGAGACAAATTCAAAAAGAAATGGACTTCCTCTGCGTGAGCATTGGATCAATTCTTAGTGGATTGTGACCTTTTTTCACGCACAATAATTATAGCCACATTGCGATGATGATCTCTGTCTTCCTCTGTTTGGAGGATTCATTTGTTTTTGAGATCTACATGAGATCTTTTGTTTTGTATGAAGAAAGAGAAATATACTACCTAAAAAAAAACGTTTGTACCTTTTTTTAGAGCATCCTAAAACTTCATTACCTGATTAGTAATAACATCATACAACATTTTATATAACTATTTATTTTATATATCAAGTCTAGATAATTACTTTTTTAGAGTATGTTTGGCATTTAGCAGAAGCAAAAGGAAGAAATTCAAATATAGGACCAGATAAAATTAAACTTTATTATTACTATTTATTTTTACTAACCTGCTATATTGTAGTTTGTTTCCTAAGATACGAGCTATTGGCCCATGATAATTAGCAATCTTTTAGTTGAGATTCCTGATGAATTTGGGTGGTAAATGAGGCATGGTAAGAAAATTCATCTGCTACAATCATCTTTTAATTGCTTCTTTTGATTGATTTAATAACTTACATTTATCGTACCTGTATTGGATTGGCAGTTTGCACATGACAGCGTGTGCACTTTGTTCACCTGGACCTTGCTAGTTGCTATTATTATTATTACCTTTGCCAAATCATACATAATTTGTCAATCAACAAAAGAAAGCCTCTCTTATATTACTATTAGCATGAATTACTCTAAGTTAACTTATATAATTCCTTGTCTTCGCATCTTGATTATCTTTAGTATTTACAAATTTTGAAATATATTTATTTTTAGTCATTTCTTTAATACGAATGGGCATTTGACTGTTTTTAACTCTTTCTTACCAATAAATTAGGTTAATATTCTCTTTTCTATAATTTCATAGGTGACAATTACATTCTAAACTTAACTTTAACTTGTTATTCTTGATAATCTTCTTAGCGACTCATTTTTCTCATTTCTTTCAATTTCTCCTCCTATTGTCTGCCTTTCAAATTCCATATTTTCCATCAGCATTCTCTGCCATCTCTGATTTCGCTTCCGGTTGATAATGAGACACTGTTTCGGTTACCTGCCGAGCTTCGTGGTAGGTCCCTGCAACTATTGTACCAGCTCTTTTGATTTGTTTGATCAAAGCATTATTATATTCGGCCTGGTCATGCTTTTGTTTGTGGTCTACTTGTTCTTACCACTAAGAACTAAATTAAACATAAAGAACAGAAAAATAATTAGTGAAATGGTTTGTGCTTCTATGAAGCACTAATTGTGAAAAAACTCATGATCCTCGAGCTCTTTTTTGGCCACCACTGAGAAGTTCTCTCGCCCAAATTATATTCATGGATGCCTTTTGCCCATTTCCTGCTTTTGTGGTTTTAAAACAATTTGGTGGGGATATTATGTTGTTGGTTCCCCACAATTAAATGCTCCTACGTAAGAATCTTGTTGAAAAGTGGCATCTTCGTCGTGTTACTCTTGTTTTCTTCTGTGGACAGCTGCTATTTGGTTGAAATCTCCGAAGACCAACATGACTTGACAAGAGAAGCGTCAAATATCAGAGGCCCCTCAAAAACCAAATTTCGGAGCGTACCTAGGTAAGAGTTTATTGTGAATAGTGCAATCCATTTAGATCGAAAAAGAACCATACTTGAGTGTTGATTGATTAGCACCTATCTTCATTCAAATTGATATTCCTTTCATAATATTTCATAATACCAGCATAATACAGACATATATGAAATTCTATACAATGTCTAGCATTTGTATCCCAAGGTGGGAAAGTTAGTGGGTACTTTAGGAGTTTTTGGTTGGAAGCTTGGCGAAATCGAGGGTTTTTTTTCCCTGTAACTTGTTTGTGACATAGTGCTTACTATATTCTCCATGATTATATCTTCTATACTTGCATGGGTTGTTCTTGTCCACAAATTCTGGCATTGGTCCAAGCTCTATGTCATAGCTAGGAGCATAGAATGTGGCGATTGAAAGTCGGTCAGTTTGCTTGTGAGTCACAGCCCTGTGCTCCACGCTTTTGTACCTGCCATTTGTAACAACCTGCATATGTATCAACCAGAAAGGTGTAAAATCTCTGTTATAAGATGGAAAATTCATTTCCAGATTTAGACATCGGTTCGTACTTCCATTGTATCGCCAACGTTGATTACGAGTGCATCTGGGATGGGCTGAACAGGAACCCACTTGTTGTCCTTAAGGATCTGGAGCCCTACTGAGCTGCCCTTTCCTTGCTGCAAAACAGTTAAAGCGCTTCCATCGGAGTGTGGGCTCAGCCCCAAAACAAGATCGGGTCTTGGGCATGGTGGATAGTAATTCATCCTTATTGCCTGTACGGCCACCCCAAACGCCTTTTCGAATGTGTCCTCTTTTTGGCCAAGGCCTAAAGCTATGTACTTCAATAGATTCTGGCATAGTTTTCTTACTTCTTTTGAGTAAATCTCCACAGTATTGCTGCAAAAACAGTGAACGATTGTAAGATGATGGATGGTTAATTACAAAAGACAGTTATAGAAAGAAGAACAACCACCTGAAGTTTGCTGGCTTCTTTGGCCATAATGAAGGAACCCTGATAGAGTCCGGTATAACCCCTAGAGCAAACATGTTACACCAGTCCAGCTTTTGGTGCTCTGAGAATATAAAAGCTTGTCCATATCCTTGAACCGTGCCCGGAGCCATTGGGTACTTCTGTTTCTCTTCCAAGGGTTGCCTGAAGAATTCCATTGCCTCCCACTCTATGCTTTCTAGTAGGTTCAGAGCAACCCCATGATTGATTACCTAATAGATCACCAAGGCATTAGTTTCCATAGCCTGCTTTAAAGCTTTGACTGAAAAGGAAAAGAAAAAAGGAGGATGCATTAGTTTTACCTGGAAAAATCCCCATTCCTCGCAGGCAGAGGCTAGCTGCAAAATTTCATCTGTGTCTCCTTTCATAAGCTTGGACAAATCAATAGTGGGTATGTCAGAGGATGAGAGGAGAGATGTTGTTGGGGTTGGCCTCTCTTGTATTTCCCTTATAAATCTCTCAGGAATCATGTTAGGCTTTAACTTTCTGAGTTCTTGCACATCATCAATGTGCCCTACGTTGATTGGAGAAATAGGTGCCGGAGCCATATAGAAAGTTAGAAACAGAGTTCTCTAGAAGTAAATTTAGATGAAGGATGAAACTCTTGGAAGTCCAACTTGGTATGCGAGTCTCTCCATCCCAAGAGAAAGCCGTATTTATAGGGCAAGGCGTTGCATGCATCCAGCCACTTGATGCATTATTTATTTTCTAATATATTAAAGTTTGTAGGGGACGTTATTATAACGTTTATCCTTTGTCGGTAAGTTATCAAAAGCCTTTGACCAATTTTATCGGTAAGTTAATAAGGCCCTAATAAATTTTTTCAGGTGGTTATTAAGCTATTATCATTTCAAGATGGATGGTTTGATTGGATTGTTGATGTAAAATGGATAAAAAAATGCAAAATTTGTTTAGTTTTAAACCGACACTACAAGTAGGACTAGGAGTGAAATTAAAAACCGAAAAATTGAGTCGAAACTGACCAAAAATTGGGTCTTACACCAACTGGCAGTCTGAGGATAAACCTTCTCGTAACGTTTGGTATTCCTCTTGTTTTTATTCTCTCTCTACGCAAAACCAGTGTCCAAAATTCACCTCTTCTCTCCTAGACGCAACGCAAGATCTTTCTTCTCTCTTCCATGCAAGATTCCTACTATTCTTATTCCCCCTCTCTAACATGCAAATTGCAATTCCCCTCTTCTCGGTATTCCATGCCGAGCAGAAGCAGACCCACTCATTTAATTCTCATTCCTCTACTCCCGACGAATTTTCAACCATCCATATACATTGTTAGCCATAAAAATATTTAAAACTAATGTGGGGTCTCTTCAATAAATAATTTTATTCAATAATGTGTTAAAATGATTAAGGAAAGAGCAGGGTATTACGTATTAGATTTTATACTACGTACTCCCATTTCATTCGTTATTTGTCAAGTCAGCAATAAATATTTAAGAATGATGTAAGGTGCACCGGCCACCCATGGGCGTTGGGTTTGAGCCCTGCTCCGACCGTCTTCATGGAGTTGTATAATAAAGCAGCAAATGGTCATTATGTATGTAACTATGTATGACGTGAAACTATTTAATTTCCACGGCTAGAAAGAGGGGAGAATCGAATATGTTTGAAGCTTTCTTGAAATATAGTTTTCTGGATTCACTTTTGTATAACGAATTATGTGCACAGTTGCTTACTAAATTTGGCAGAAGGGGTCAGGTCGGGTATATTCAAAGTGCTGTGAAGTCGAGTTCATCCATATAAGAATATTATATACCGAGTTGATTATAGAATGAGGTATGCGTCAGGCAACAATGCTTTTTTTCCATCTCTGTTGAAAATGAATCTACTTTTACTTCTACTTTTTTTTTTTTTTGGGTTTAGTGGCGGTGGGGAATGGAGGTTCAAAGAGCCACAGAATCTTGTAGAGGTGGTATCAGAAATGTACGTACGGTCGCAAACTGAGTCACTGGTCCTGTAAGTCTTTACCTCCTTTTGAATGGTCCTATTTTTGGTAATTTCGAAGCAGTAGCATAGTGGTAGTAGGGGCCATCATTCTCGTTTCCTGTGACCCATCCTAGTGTTGTCATCACTCACCGTTTCCTTTTGCCTTCCACCTCTTTCCAGTCTCCCTACAAAACTTTTAATATATATTGAATTGAATGAATATTCTATTAAAAAATCATAAAAATTTTTACGTTAAAAAACAAATTTCTAAAGTAACATTTTAGTCCCTAAATTTTAATTTGTAAGGATTTATTCTATGTAGTTTAAAATTTTTAACAATTTAATCTATATTGTAAAAATTTTTATTAAAATTTAGTGTCAAGTTTTATAATATAACAATTTATTCTTTCTAATTCATAAAACATATTTGGTTCTTCCTTTAGTTTATCAATCTATACATACAAGAAACTTAACAAAAAAAAAATCACGATAAAGACTAAATCGTTATCGATTTTAAATTACAATTACTAAATTGTTATATATTAAAGTTTAATGACTAAATTGTTACCAATTTGAAAGTAAAATGGACTAAATCGCTACAAACTAAAATTTAGAGACTAAATTGTTACTTTAGCGAAAGTACGAAGATTAAAAGTGTTATTTAACCAAATTTTTAAAAATCACCAAAGTTATTTGAGTTAATAATTAATTATTTGATGAGAAGTTTAAAAGATGTACTATCATTGTCTTATATATTCATAGCTGATACTTTTTGGTATTTCTTATGTTTCTGTAATTGGTAGTTTTATGGTCTATCGAAGGCTTGCCTTTCCTTGACGGTACTGTACATGACTTCCACGGCATCTTAGAATTGTGTGGTTCCTGCATATTTTGTATCTTATAATTGTTGAACATATAAAATCACTGGAACTAAAATTCAGTACTTGATCTGATAGCCTACGAAAGATTCTCTCTCGCTTTTTCCCTTTTGGAAGAAAGTGAACATATTCTAAGCTCAACAGAACTAAACATGGTTCTGTCATTTTGGTTATCATATTGCTGATGACTTTTAGCCTTCTAAAGCTTTGTTCCTCGTATTTTTCTGAAACGATGTGGACCTTACACTTTCAGAAATATATGAAGATCAAGTTCTATGCCTAATTTGATGTTGAAATTTCTTTTAGGAAAATAATTTATAGATACAAGCTTAGGATTAACTTGTTATAAAATTGAGTATAAAGACTAAAATGTTGCCAAAGCCTAAGAGTATGAATTCAAACTTCATCATCTTCACACTATACTGTTCACTTTGAGCCTAATTCCTGGTAGTTTATTTTTGTTTTCACTAAAAAAGTCTATGAGATTTTGGTCTCCAAGAGAGCTTAGTTGGTAAAAGGCTTTGGGATCTCTTAATCATATTGGCGTAGAGGTCTCAAATTCGAGTCTTTTTGTGAGTTTAATACCAAAAATCTTTGATATCTCCTAAGTCCGGGCACAGGTGTTCCTGGGTACAGGGAATCAAAGTTCCGACTCCATTTATTAAAAAAAAAAAAAAAGATCTGTGAGATTTTGGTTGCCGTTACAACATTAATCGACTAATAAACTAAATGGTAGACATACTTCCTATTTCTTTTGGCAAGCACTGTTAGTTGCTTGGAAACAATTTTGAAGTATTTATGAGCATTTATGATTATGTTGCTTTTATTTCTTCCCTGACATGATTAATTTGTCGTGTTATTTATATTAATCCCATCCGTTCTATTTTCCTGCTACAGAAAGATTTTGGAAGATTTCCTTCTGATTCTGAAGCTCGTTCACAGGTTTTTCTGAAGAGTCATGTTATCTTAGGACCGATGCTTTCCTACAGGAAAGCTCTGTCAGCCAATCTATGACTCGTATCTAGAANAAACCTCGCAATGATCACCAATCCGAACACTCACGAATAAAAAAATAAAATAAAAAAAAAAGTAACTGCAAATATATCTGTTCTTATTTCGTGGAGCAATAATTTATTGTTAACTTTGATATTAGTCATAGTAATTACTGATTGATGCACGTCCTTCTTTCAATTACATCCTTTAGCAGTCCTTTATGAAGATTAGAATCTTATTATTTACTCTCCAATAGAAACAAAGTGGGAGCATCTCACGGATATACGAAGATTCCAAAATCTCTTCAACCACTAAACTGTGCTGCTGGGTCACCAGCCACAATCAAATAAATGTTGATAGTGGTTGAATTTGCTTATAATTAAGGCTATGTGGGATGTGATAAAATCCTTTGATCATGCTCATGATATATCCAGTCCCACTGATTATTGCCGTAAACCCCACATTCTGATTCCTCCATTTTATTATCATTTACAGGTGTTCTACATTAAAATTATGAAAGAAGTGCTTATTTGTTTTTAGGTGGCTGAAATGAAGAAGAGAAAAAGGCCAAGGTAACTAAAAGTTGATCCATTTGGTGACAAAATCAAACAGAGAATTCATAATGGCAGAAAAGACTGTAGAGAAAACTCCACGGAGATGAAACAGATGAGCTCCTTTTTAGAGCCCAGGAATTTGACTGCGTTGTGAACACGTTATGAATTAGATGGAAATTTTTAGACAATATATTCATTGATTTTATTTGTCATACTATTCCAATAAAACATTGAGATTTATACAAGATGGATATTGTAGTAACATTAAAGGAAATCATAAAAAAATATTTAAATTACCAAATTAAGATTCCACACTTTTCAAATGAAGTGATTTCTTTGGTATCTTCCTTCAAGTGAAAATGAAATTTGTAATAATTTACAAGTACTGTTCTGTCTCATACTATTCTTTATTTTTTATAATTATTTTTTCTAGTACAACAAATAGAAGCGATGAATAATTTAAATTCATGACCTCTTGATCACAAACATATACCAATTATCACTGAGTTAAGTTCATATTGGTAATATACTTTCTTTTTACTATAGAAATTAAAATTGTTACAAGTCATAAACTGCATAATAATACTAAAATAGGATTAAATTATTATACCCTAATACTAAAATTTAGAGAACAAATGGTTGCTTCAATGAAAACACAGTGACCGATTTGACCGATTGCGTAATTTTTCTCTTTTATTTTTTTTAAAATATTGATTGAATAGTGGTATTAATTAATATCAAACCCCCCTAGACATCTGTTCGACGCGTCGTTTAGCAGCCGCACCAACAAACCCGACCCGACCCGAGAGAAATGTGCAAAGTTTGAGAAGAAGAGTTGAGATTGTGGAGGAGGAAAAAACAGAGAAGAAGAAAAGAATGGCGATGGAGGATCTGAGCGAAGAAGAGAGGCGCGCCTTACGCGGCAGCAAGTTCGCGCCCCTGCCGCCCTCTCGCTCCCTCTCAAGGTATTTTAACTCTTTCTTCTTCTTCGGTCTCTCTAGGGTTTGGTTTTGTTTTGTTCTGTTCTGTATTAACAATGGAGCTGCGATGGTTTCTAAAGGCTGCCTCACCCTGGTGGCCCTATCAAGACCAACAAGGCTGCGGCTCTTGCCAAGTTTCTCCACAGAAAACTCCACCAAGACCCCCATGGTTTCTCCTCCATCGATCCCAACATTCTCGACCTCGCCGTTCGTAATGCCAAAGCCACTCTTCTTTCCAGTTCGTATTCCTATCCCTATTCCTATTCTGCTGGCTCATTCTGATTCCGATTCCCCCCAGATTTCTGCTATTAACTATTCACTAATCTACTTTAATCAGTGACTAAGGGGTTTTTAAGTTGTGTGTCTCTGTGATGTGTTTATTACCAGGTGGCACTTCAACCATTCGCCATGTGGACACATTTGATGACCCTGAGGTTTGTTGATCAAGATTTCTTCATACTCATTTCTTGTTGCCATTTCATTCTACTAATAATTTAACTACCGATGAAGCAGGGCTCTTTCGACGAAGGGGGTGCCATGAATTCTGACCCTAAAAAGCAAAAGAAGAAAGACAAAAAGAAGAAGAAGAAGAATAATAAGAATAAAAGGCAAAAGGTTGAAAATCCCCTCTCATGGTTTTGTTATAAGCTCTATGATTTTAGTGGGTTTCTTGACAAATCTGTTGTTTGTTCTGCAGATTGTGGAGGACTCCGAGTGTGGCATTGCAAAAAGGCCCAAAGAAAAGAAGTTGAAATTATGAGCCCTTCACAAGATTGGGAATTGGGATAATAACTAGAAAAGGACAGATTCTTGAGCCGTAAAGGGTTCCTGATATTTCGATCAAGCAGAACTATTAGATTCTTGATTTACGACCCTATAACACTTGATTGAATTGATTTCTGTTGTGCAAAAGTGTTGTAGTTTCTGCATCTCATTCTCAGATTGCTACACATTTTTGTTCTCAAAATCTGATGCCTTGAATTCAATTGTTGGCAAGAGATGTCTTTTCCCTATACCTACTTCTATGGCTTAAATGACACTTCTACACACAACTCAGCATTTAAGGGTACAGGAAGCTAATTTTGAAGCAGGTGGAAGATTGAATTTCATTCAATTTCAAACGACAATTTTCTCAAACTATAATGATTTATACATAATTGCAGTCTATGGTACAGTCAACAAAGAAACTGATAGCCAGGGAGATGCACATTTTTTTTAATTCAAAAAGTGAGGCCAAAATATTATATCTAAGATGTATTTACTCACCATTTTCAATTTGTCTTTGAGCACAAGGGAAGAGGATTTCAGCCTCTAGGTTGGTATAAGCGCAAGTATCTGGCTCCTTATTATTCCCATGCATTTCTGAATCTCTGCATATAGTGGAAGGTTCTGAGGGCAACAAGGCTGCAAACTATTCACAGCAGAATCCAGTACCTGAGCAACATCACATGGTGGAAACTGTCGTTCTGTGCATTTCTGCACGTTTTTTACCCAAAAATTAGCATTTGGACATTAAAATCTACCATCATCGTCACCATGCATGAAAGAAAACTAGAGCTAAATCTGGCAAATGTTGATACTAGAGCTTGGCTAAAATATGCATGCTTCACGATACTCAACAAACTATTTGATGCAACAACTTCCACGAAACAAGAAAAACTTGCAACTCCATTGTATTGACAGTACCACTCCCTCTCTCTTAACAGTTGGTGAGGAATAAACAATCCAAACCATCATATTGTCTAATTTATGCAAAACAGAAACAATTTGGTTGATCCTATTGCTGAGAAAGGACTAATAATTGAGATGAGAGAGGCTATGAAATAAAGCGCCCTTTACCTGAATCATGAGTAAAGTAGCTACACAATGTGCAATAAGTTCCGAAGGGACCTCCACTTCGTTCTTGTCAGATGGGCCGTTGGACTTTGGACCGACTACGTGATTAGCAGTTGATGGATTTGATGCACACGCACTGAAATGATTCTGAGATACTGGAGTGGCATTACTTGTATCTGCAGCCGTTAATCTCGCAGTTGGCAAGGCCAAATCATCCACCGAAAGTCTATTACTAACAAAATCAATGGCTTCTTCAATACTCTCCAAATTACTCTCTCCTTTTTTCAGGGTGAGAATTGTCTGAAATGATTGTTGATAGCAAATAAAGTCAGAGGAAGCAGAACATAGGCCAGGGACGCAACATGGTGATTGAAACACCCCCCTTCTAAAAGATTAGAAATTGAACGCATCCAACAAATTGAAGGAATTTTACAATGTGAAGATTTGAAAATACATCCATGATTCTTATATTCTCACTTAACCTTTAAGCAAATCTAAACATCAAAAGGTAATTATGATTCTTTAATAGTCGGTTTGGATTGTGGATTTTATTTACGAGCTAAAACTATAGAATTTAAAACATTGACACAGCACGCAAGATAGAGTATCCATAATTCCTAGAGACCAAATTAAAAAACCAACCAACTGATGTTCAAACTGGGTAGACAATAGTAAGGATTAAACCTGCATAGCTTCATCGATCATTGTCTGAGCCTTTGCTCTCGAACTTCCCACAATTTCAGCCACATGGGAACCAGGCTCTTGAGCATGACAACAAGAGTCGCCTAAGTCATGCACTGGCTTGAGGAACATTAACGGTGAAGTCCCTTGATATGTATTGCGCTGCCTCAAGCAAAACAGAGCAGAGGAAACCTACACATACAGAAAAAAATAAGCAATTTAATCACAAAAATGGGATGAAGCTGAAAATGGATTCATCAAAACTCATGCCTGCTCATTAACTTCATGCAACTGTAATAGCACAGCAGCATATTGCTTCTTAAAGTTCTCTGAATCCTTGAGCAAGTTGTCTCCATTTATTTGGTTTTCTAACACCTCGTCATTCAAGCGCTTCAATTCAGACACTACCACCTCCTAAATTTCAACATATATCAGTTAGGTTCAAAAACATTCAAATTTGATGAAAGGTTAAAGCAAAATAAAATTTCCCTTTCAACCTAGTGTCCACCGGTGAAAGACAAAAAAGGTTGATGATATCAAACTAATATGATGTACTACCTTCTTGTCAAGTGCACGTGACAATTCAGAAAGAGCATGGACATCAGCTTCTTTTGCTTGAATTTGAGCAAGAGCAGAAGGTTGGGAACTTGCCTCCTGTTGAATACTGACAGTCTCAGTGAGCCCAAATTTAGTTTGTAGATGAGAGCACCCAAGGTCAACCTGGCCATGAGCAATTTCTTATCACCAATAACACCTTTATTTTTATTTTGATAACCGGGAATCGAAGCTTTGCTCCCCTATCACCAATAACATTCTTGAAACTAAAAAACAACTCTATAGATGTAGCTACATCAATGCAGGTCAATACTAATGTGTTAACATTAAAAAGTATAAGCATATCAAAGACAAATTCAGTCATAACCCCAGTATTAAGATGGTAGTCTTTGTTTTCTATGAAATAAGTGTATTAGATAGCAGAATGATTGAAGAACAGCTAGGGGGGGTGAGAAATAACTCAAACAATATTTTTAAAAAATAAAATAAAATAAAAAACCCAACTTACATCAATTTTTTTCTAAAAATTGGAATAGTTACAGAAAGCCTTAACCAAAGAGGTCCAAGTAAAAGGAATAAAATAAATAAGGTCGAGGATCTCCCTTTAAAATGGTTATCTTAAAGAACAAAATAAGCGATTAAGAGCTAAAAGAGTAGAACAGCACATTCTCAATGATAATAAACCCAATCCAGAACTGACTGGTGACTGGAAATTCAATTTCTAACTAAATTTTAATGGCTTGTGTTTGAGTCGGTGAGATGATGGAATAACTTTTCCAATTGGAAGGTGAGGCCATACCCTTGGTTCTTCCAAGACATGCAAGAACAACCCGAAGCAACATGCTTATACTCCTCAATATGGTCTCTGCTTAAAGAAGGAAGTTTATAGAGCCTTGTGGTGCTGTCTAATACTAATTATTCGAAGTTTTTAACCTCATGGTTTAAACCTTCTTTTATCTTTTTTATTTTTTTTCCTTTATGATAGTAAACGGAAATTGTATTCATCAAAGGGCCATATACAG